TAACCTGCTTTCTGATATTCTTGTCCTTCCTGTAGTGTAGCTTCCATAATTTTCTCCTCCATTATATCCTATGTCTTCTCACTTTTATTTTTTTTATGGATATAATAGCTGTGATACACTCTTCTGGCTTCAAAACAAACACAAAAGAGGGAATACTCTGTGCTCGTAGCCTTCCCTTCTGTTCTCAGTAATCCTGTGTGACTCCAAATCATGAATCTCTCTATTTCTCTTCCAGTAATCACTCTTAATCCAGAGGTCATCGTTCGAAGTTTCATGAATCTCTGCCACTTTATCTGATACATAGCCATCCCTTTGAATTCTTCTTCCCAGAGCCTCTTATTTCTCCATCCCACATTTTTCCTGCGCAGAAGCTAAAGACAAACTTTCTTTTGTGCCACAAAAAACAGTGGCAAAGTGATGCTCCCATTTTTCACTGAGAGCTTTCAATAGCAGTGGAGATACTGTAATATTTTGGTTGGATTTGGATAGCTATACACATACTTCTTACAGGTTTCAAAAGTTAACTTTGAAACAGTAAAAATTGGCTGTGCAGATTATTTAGAGCGATGAAAGCTTTGATTATGAAGACTTCAATAATACACAGCTAGGGACAAGGTCATTTGTAGATCTTCAAAGTGCAAATATAAGCAAGCTTTATTAAAGCTCATACTCATTTTCTGTCATGAAACTAATCCCTGGTTTAGAAAACCATTTATTGAATGGTTTCCTAAACTGTATGTGTGTCATGGTTTAACCCTGCTGGGAACTCAGCCCCACATGGCCTCACCTGCTCCTGAGTAGGATGGGGGAGGGAATCAGAAAGGTGAAAAAAATCATGGCTTGAGATAAAGACAGTTTGACAGGTAAAGCAAAACTGTACACACAAGCAAAGCAAACAAGGAATTTATTTGCCACTTCCCATCTGCAGGCAGGTGTTCAGCCGTCCCCAGGAAAGCAGGGCTCCATCACATATAACAGTGACTTGAGAAGATGAGAAGACAAACCATCACTTTGGTGGTTCACCTTTCCTTCTTCTTTCCTCAGCTTTATATGATGAGCATGACACCCTCTGGTAATGGATACCCCTTTGGTCAGTTGGGGTCAGCTGTCCAGGCTGTGTCCCCTCCTAAATCCCTGTGCACCCCCAGCCCCCTTGCAGGTGGGATGGGGTGAGAAGCAGAAAATTCCTTGACTCTGTGCAAGTACTGCTGAGCAGTAGTGAAATACAGTTATCAACACTGTTTCCAGCACAAATCCAAAACATAGCCCATATGTTTTTCTGCTATGAAGAAAATTAGCTCTATCCCAGTCAAAACTGCCACAGTATATAAGAGATTTGTTTCAGCCTTTCAGAAATGAAACTATTCTATACATATAGAAGTTATGTCAGTCTATTGAAGTTTTGAAATTTAGAAAACCAGTGCTTCACCTTGGAAAACAATGGGATTTGCATAATTTTAATTTATGTTGTGGCATTAAAAAAACCAAAACAATTCAACAGGGTAAACTAGAAAAAAGAGTTGTAATTATAGCCACTGATAATGTACTATACTCACGACAGAAAGTCCCATTTACTTTTTGTGTGTGAAGACAATGTATGCAAAAAGAAATTTCCTTCACTTACAAAGAAAAATAACCTAATGTAGCTAATAATTTTACAAGGCCAAAACGTTGTATACTTTGTTAATACAGGTTTACCTACCAAGCATATTGATCTGTGTACCATTGTATATACTGGATTTTTATGAAGGTTATTCATTGGGCAATGAGTACGAAAAATACATTGCACATCACTTACGTTATCATATCTTGGGATGTACTTTTTTCTTTCATTTCATACTAAGTTTTAAGACCTTTCCTGTAAAGGTATAGCCAGATAAAGCATAACTCTTTCTAGAACTCTTTTGTTAGAAATAGAGTTAGATAACATCTTAGGGGATGAGGGGAAAAATTTTTTTTTCTCTCTGCCCATAAAGAAGATGGTAGAGAAAGAATTTAGGTATTGTTTTCAATATTTTCCTTGGAGTACTTATCTATCTACAGATGTGTTTTATTTGGATTCTCATCTCCTTCAGAAATTAGAAGGCTCATTTGTGCTTCCTCTCAGATTAAATGAACTGTGATGGGACAATGATGTTTTCTTCTTCTGGTAGAAAACATAATTCAACCCAGGTAATATTGTGCACTGATTTTTTTTTTCCCCCAGCAATTGTGGGGAAGAAATAGTTCTTCAAAGGAAGAAGAATGTTCAGACCACAGGGTGATATATGCTTTAAGAATACCTGAGTTAGGCAGTACTGGTAAGAAAAGGAGCCAAAGCAAGGGAGAGTTTAAAAAAAATATGACACAGATCCTGTGGGTACTCTTTAAAAACATAACCATTTGTATTCAGAGTGTTTCAATACCATTTAGTTATGTTAGTATTAAGAAAGGAAATAAATTAGCTGAATAATATTTCATCACACTTAGAAGCGTAATCAAGCATTTCAGTTGCTAGTTATACATTAGAGCATACGAACTTCCAGAAGAAATAAGTACTTTTCTTATTGACATGCAAGACAATTTACAGGTAAAATGCAAGCACACATGCGTAGATTTTGCTTGCTGTATGTTCAAACAGTCTGTAGCCTTGTACTTTTAAGAAGCCCCATTTTAGAGTGCCAATTAAGTTTCTGAAGATACAACAGCCTAGTGATTTTGTGATGGGGTCAGGATAGCTCTGCAGGGTGAAAAAAGTTCTTCTAGTCTTGTAAGGGACCCAATGAAGGTTGAGATTGCATAACCCACTGCAGAGTTAAATAAACTACCACCAGTGTTCAAGATTGTGAGGTTCAAAGGGATCAGGTACTTAATTGCTGCCTATGCAAATCAATACTGTCATTAATAGTATGACTTCTTTTATTTGGTGGAATATCAGGATGAAAATCAAACAATGTTCTGTGTTTGCATTTCCAACTTCTTGCTAGCTCTTATTTTAGGAATACATGAATCACTGATAAATTTCACACTGAAACACATAACTGTCATACTAAGGTGACTAGATTTTAATTTTGACCGCTAGGTACATGATTACTTTATATGTGAACGTATGGTAACAAATATACAATTTTTAATTTTTTTAAGGGATTGCTGGTTGACATAAAATATTTGTCTTATTTCCCAGTAAACAAGTCTAAATGTTTTCATATATTAAACATAAATATTGGCTCAAGGTAAACCAATATATATGCAGTATCTATGTAATATGCTATGCAATATCTTAAACCTCCAAAAAGTGTTGAATGACCTAATAATAGTGCAGCTGTGATGACAAAAGACTACAAAACAGTGTATATTCTACCTAATCAGGCTGCACTGTTAAAGGTGCTGGGATTGAAGGAGTCACAAAGGAATGGGAGGAAATATGTGGAATTAGACTATGGAATGAGAACCTCTAATAGTGGAAACACTATAAAGCACAGATTTTCCTCATAAAGAAAAGAAAAGAATGTGTTTGGGTTAAAGTATTTGTGCCTTCCATTCCAGTTAGTTTGAGGTCATAAACTAGAATGGGAATTGTTTTACCATTTTTATTACAGTGTTGTTCTATAAAACAACATTTTTTTCCATCTGTATGTCTGCATAGATGTAACTGAGATGCATAAAACATTAGGTACATATTACAGGCATAGAATCTGTTTTGTTCTTTCAGCCATTCTCCACACAAACTGCACTTGGAGATCTGTTCTACCTACAAAAATGTTTTCCTGTATTAGGAGTCTCATTTTGGAACACTTAGAATTTGGATTAGCGAAGCAAGATCACAGAGACCAAGAATTACTAATAAGGTGCATCAGTTCACAAAAAAAATCTGTTTGTACCGTATAGCCAAGCATTAGTGCCTGAAAAGTTGCCAAGTGAGGCAGTAATTTCCATAATTATGCAGTTAAAACTGTCTGCATCATGAAGGCATCTGATTAATTTGAAGATCATATTGTTTTATGGGATGAGAGAGGGATGAACTCCATGCAGTTGGTTAGTAGTTGCCTCAAGACTGTAGACAAACTTGTTATTTGATTTATCACAGAGAGAAGAGGAACCCTCACTGAGCTAGGAAATTATCAAGCACTTCAGCTTTCAGTATTACAATCACTAACACTTTTGATGTTAGATTATTTACAGAGCTTGAATCTCCATTGGTCAGTGCCTCTTTAATAATAAAAATAAGAATTTGTTTCCAGTAGCACCTAATTGGATGAAAGTGCTTCTCAAAATAGATGAAAAATTATACTGCCTGTCCTAAGGGCTTAGAAACTTCTCAAGTTTCATGATTCAATGTGGTGTTAGAAGTGAGAGACAGTCATAGGCATTGATGGATTTATCCTGTATAACTGTTATTTCTGTATTGGTATTACTGAAAATAAAACAAGGCACCAGTTTTAGTTGGCTAACTTCTTGTAGGATCTGCAAAATATGTTGATCTGAATGTGGATCTTAGTGGCACTGCAGGTCAGCCCAGAAGAAAATATATGTAGAATACTGGAAAATATAGACAATTGCATCATGAGTGTGGAAGCTTGTAGCAAAAATGCCAAATGGGAGCACAGATTTTGCCTTTTTGTTGTTGTTGTTCTACTAAAACAAATACAGTAGTCAGGTATATAGCTGTTTCTGGCTTATTCTAAGGGAACGGTACTGTCAAGAGATGACATTGCAGTTGATGCTCACTTGGAAATGTTTTGATTACTTGGTTTTTCTTTAGTGTCCTTCATTGGGAAAAAAAATTTCTCTACTATCTGAAATGAAATATCCAGGTTGTTCACTTTTAGAAATTATTGTATGACTCACTTTCTGCCCACTTCTTTATAGTCAGCTTATGTGAGCCAGGAATTTAATAAAAATACAGTTCACAACATATATAATGACTTGAAAATCATTTTATAGTTACTGATTTTCTATTGTAAAGATAGATTAATGATACAGTATTATGATGCAGGCAATATGGATGTTGATTGGCAACTCTCCTGTGGGACTGAATTCTTTCCAGGAAGTCACTGTATATAAAACAATCATGTCTTAGGGAATAAACATATCTCTTGATTAAAAATAATTTAGTATATTCCATAATTTTTGCAATTATCATACAAATAAGTAGCAGATCGAGAGAAATTATGCTTTCTGTTTTGCTAAGGTAGAAAATACTATAAAAAGCATTTCATCCACAGGAGTCAGCAGAGGGTCAGGTATGCTATGAAAAGCTAACATAACTGTAAGATCGTTCAAATAAACTCCTCAGCTGCAGGCGCATTTCAGCCTCTACTCTTGGTTCAAGGGCGTTGCTTTACATGAGTTTGTAGTATGAGATCTGCACAGGTGATTAATCCTCCGACCTTGAAGGTGTATTAGGGAGTAGAATGCTTGTTAAACAGAGCCATGAATGAACATCATACTATTTATGTGGATTTTTTTCTTTTTTGTTCTAGGGATGTTTTAGTATATGCTTTAAAAATCCCTACAAACAAAGACTCATTTAACTCACACGAAAATTACTGCATGAAAGATAATAATTTATAAGGTATCTTGCAATACATTATTATGCAAAGCAGAAGCAATGTGGTGCGAAGAAGGAGATAAGTAAGAGTTTAATGTTAGCACTAATACATTTCAGTTGCTACTTTCTGAAAGTAATCTTGAAAGTTTGAGGACCTTGTAGACTTTTGTTGTGTTAGTTTGTGAGGAAAAGCAGCAGATGCTTGGAAACAATTGTTTGCCTCAGCCTCATGTGAAAAATGGATGAGGAAAAGAAAGGCGAATGATAGTTCACCAAATTTGCTTTTCTTACTGAGGTTGGAAGTGATGTGTTCTCTGGTTGATACTGAGAAAAGAAAATAGCAAAATATGTAAAAATGTATGTATGAAACATGATATACTGTACGCATAGGGATTGTTTGTATGCCTATTGGAATCAGAGTTTAAACACACATTCTGACCATGTTCTTTTACGAGTGGTTAACAACGTGATGGGAACTAAGTTACATAACAGTGCCTTAGAAAATAGCACAAAGAAAAAGCCCTTCTATTCCTTAACTTGTAATTTGCTTTTTATCAGAGAAGCCTGATGGACTCTAAGCATTAAAATTTTAAAGAGTAGGAATGGCCTTTGTGTCCTGTACATACAAACTATGTAGAGTAAGTACAGTTTAATCCTTGATTACAGCCTGTGCAGGCTACTAAAATTAAAATAATGTGTTGTACAAACATGTTTTTTTCTGTCAGAATTTCCCTTTATTACTTCTGGTTTTAATCTGAGGCAGAAAATGTTTCTTTCAAGTCCTCAGTCATGCAGTTTCTAAAAAGTGTTTTAGATAGTTTCTGTACTAACCTAATTTACCTCCACCACAGCTATGACAAAAATATCACTAACAGATTTTTGAAATAAATTATGAGCACTCAGCCTTGTGATGTCTTGGATTTAGTTAGATGTTTGGATTTAGTTACCTAAACAAAGACACTAAGTGCCATCTAAGATGCACTAAATTATAAAACCCCCACAAGTTTGGAGCTGGAATTTTCAACACAACTACAGACTTGCCCTCCACTGTAGATTTTAGAGGAGATATCTTGAGTCACATAAAAAAGCACTAGACGAGTATGTTTAGATGACCAAATTCCACATGCATTACCTACCTACTGTTTTCTACCTTCTGCAAAGAACTTCAGAGCTTCAGTCCCCCCTTCAAGGGGGGGACATAGATACCTATACAATCCTGAAATCCAGGTTCGCTTTCTGGATACACCAAGGTTAACTATATATTGTGTCATGTTTCTTTCTGAATACAAAGTTCGCCAGGTGCTTTGAACACTTCAGCATCTCAGCTCCTGCCTGCTGACGTTGCACTTGTGGTGTTGAATGAAAGTTCAAAAGTTCAAATTTCAATGGGTCAATACCAAGTTCTTTTTCTGAGTCTTAATTTATAGTTAAAGTAGAGCATAATTTTCAGGTCTGTTTCTATAAATGTATATGTCCTCTTGTAGTCCCTGGTAAATTACTTTGATGTTTAATTGTTAAAAATTTGTGCTCTGTGTTCATTAGCTGCTATAGTGCTGCTTTGAAGATCCCCTTATTCTTGAAATTTATGTTCTTATGGAGGTAGAGAGACTAAGTCACTCTTTGTTCTTTCATTTGATAAGTTAAATTTAATTCATACCTCTAAAAGAGATGCCTCACATGGCTTTGATCATTCTGGTGAATCATCCTGAAATTTTCTCTGCTATGTCTAGTGTGAACGCTAGGCATAAGAACTAGATACATTATGTTAACTGAAACCATTTTTTTCCAAGTAGCATTTCCTTCCAGGGAAAAGACACATATAATATAATGGTATATTTACAGCTATATTTGATCATACGATTAATAAATAGGACTACAAAAGGTTATTTTGTTCTTGGGTAGATTTCTTGCATGAAGATAGTGTATACATATAACTGTGTCGTTCTTAAAGGATCATTGTAAAAAATTCCCTTTAACAGATTGCACAGCCTTTCTTAGCAACCTGTTCTTGTTGCTTGCACACTCCTCACTTCTCAAGATATTTTCATGATTTCTAATTTAAATCTCCTTTTCTGGAATTTAACTCATTGCTATTTACTTTGTTTTCAGACTGCACAAAGGTTGATGAATTTTCTTCTTTAACACCCCCTCTTATATTCTTAAAAGATTTATCAAGTAAAGTGTACGTCAAGATATCATATGTGTATATACCAACTATCATTTTTATTTGCCTCTTTTGTACTGTCTCAAATTATTCCATATCCTTCCTAAGCCATAGTCCTTCAAAATACAAAAAAAGGCCAGCAGATGCTCTAAGAGTATTGAGGTGCCTAAAAAATATATTCTGACTGTTTTTTAATGCACCACTCTTGCATATAAATCCCAGAATTACATTTTATCATAAGAACATGATGTTGTTAACCTCTGTTCAGAGACTGTGATCCAGTGTAATATTAAAAAATTTTCTGCAGTACTGATGGTGATCTAGTTTAGTCTTGCATTCTTCCTTACTGAACTGTTAAGGTTGCTTTTCTTTTTATTTAATATGAAACCACAATTACTGCCACTTTGATGGTGAGCAGACTGGAAAATATTTTGTTCACCAGTATGCTAATAGTAGTGACAGTTTCTTTTAGGTCCTTAAGTGTTTATTTTTAAGGTGAAAACTATAGGTTCACCTATATAAGGTTTCTAGAGCACTCAAGTTTCATCCTTCCATGAGAAAGGCGAATCAGGCATTTGTCACTCTTGTTCTGCATCAGGATTGTGCTTTAAATCATTTCTGTCTGTAATGCTGAGGATTGTGACATCCTTAGAAATTTATTTCCTGCTATATTAAGGGAGGAGAAAGCAATTTACTTCCCTTATTTGCCATTAACTGGGGTTGTATTTTCCTGTTCCACTTATTGCTCCAAATTTGGTAATCCTCATTTGGCGACTAGTCCCACAGAGGCTTCTTGATCTTGGAGGACTAGTATGTGGTGCATACAATTACATAGAGGAATATTCAAAATGGTCAAGAAAGGATTGGAATAAAAGTGCCATAAATTAAATTGTCAGTCCCTAGGAAGTAAGTAGAAAATATATAAAATTAGACCATTCCAGTAGTCTCTTTTCCATGCTGAGAAATACCTTCTCCCAAAGTAAGGAAATTCAACTCTTCTGGTCTTTTTGGATGTGTTTATCACGGTTTGTTTTACACAGCGAGACCATAAATCATTTTTACTGTCTAGAAAATCTTACTTCAAATAACTTGTAAATATGCTCTCTTCTGTCATGATAATAAATGAATGCACAATAAATTAACATTTTCTTGTTCTTATTTGTAAAATAGTATGGCAACTAGGAGTAGTTTCATACAATAACCCTAGCACTGTAGAATCCACACCTCTTTTGCACAAATGACTTAAGAGGAGTAGTTTGTATATGTTTGTATTGCTTTTACATGTCTTTTCCTGTCCCTAATGGTCAACAAATAGTTTTTTCTTGTAAGTTACAGATTTGTTTTAGATATACAGACCTCAAAGTAATTCAGGCTAAAGCTTTGAGGTGGATCTGCCTGTTTTTCCTGAGATTATTTACGTAAAAAAGGGAGAGAGGGTTCCATGGCTAAATAATATTTTGTTAAATTAGAAAAAGATAACCTGAAAAAACTCAGCTCACTGTTAGACTTTAAAAGATGACCTTACAAATGAATTTTTGCATGCAATATACTGCTTTGCAGAGAAAGAACTTTCCTTTCAGCTTGCTACTGGTAAAGTGACTTTTACCTGTTCTGTGTGTTGCAACAGACTCTTGACAGTCTGCTTTCAAGCCATTAAATAAATTTCTAATGTGACTCGGCAATGACTGCTTCCTGCCAGCATTAATATTATCGCTTTTTTTTCACTAATGTTGCAGGTTGTTTATGTTTTAAGTATCTGTATTCTTGAATATTTTTAGATATCTCTACTGCTTTTGTTTGAATTCCTGATGGTGCTTACAAAGGGACATTATCACACACAGACAACAAATAGGTTATCCTTGTTGGTTTAACATCAACTTTTAAAATTAAAATAAAATATATACAGTACAATGCAAGTTGCAAATAAATAAATAAATGAATAAATAAATTAGACATTATTTGGGAAGCTCTCACTTCTCTTATTGCCACCTAGGCACAATTTTAGAAAGTACTTGTGCTTCAGAATAAGAGATGAGGCTGGGCTATGCTAGGAGAGAGAAAGACTTGGATGGTGGATGTGGATGGCAATTTGCAGAGCCTGACTGAAACAGACTAGATTGGAGGACTTGCAAGAGGGTAAAGAAGTGGGTTATGTGAATTCTGAGGTGAAATACTGCTGTTGTGAGGCAAAATGCTGGTGTTTATTGTGTAAAGAAACTTCAAGTTTTGGAAGGACTGCAACAGTGTGATAATACTGCTTAGATGTCACCACACAAAAGGGCTTCTGGAAAGCAGGTGACACATAAGGCCTGCTAAAATCAGACAAAACATGGAAATAATTACTTTAGGAGGATCAGTGGGTGAGAAGCAGCAGAAAAATAATGAATATGAATAGTAAAATGAATGGAAAACTAAACAGTGCTTTCAGGGATGAGAGTCTATTAGTTAGGATTTCTGATGCAACGTAATACGGAAAGAGAAAAAGAATATTGTAGCAAGAGAAAAGGAAAATGAGAATTGAACTTTTCTCTCTTCGTTATCTTCAAATAAGCATATCTTCAATTCATAAACAGTTATAACAGTCTTCAAATATTATCTCTATTGCCTTTGTTACAACTGGCTTTCCTAATGAACAGAAACCTAACCCATTACAAACTTCGCCAAATATATGTAGATTCATGATACAGCATAAAACTGTGGAAAATAAAGAGAATAATAAATAGATCACATAAGACAGGAATGTGTATGTTTTCTCGGTGTAGTATTTAGATTTCTCTAACATGATATTTTCTCTGACAGCTTGAAACGTGAAAAGTACAGTATCACATTGTCTCTAACGTCCTACAAGATAAATTTGAACATCTCTGTTGACATTGTAACTGTAATTTGCTAAGAAAGGTATTATTCAAATCTGCAGTTACTGTTATTTCATAAGGTATTTCATAAGACTTAAGTAAAATCAAATATTTTAAGAAAACCATAGTCCTCTGAGAAGCTTCAACACTCAACAGAAGAGAATGTATTTTATAGCAGTTTCATAATGACTTTCTAGGCCATTGACTCAAGAAAGATCTTACATTTTCCTTTTCACAGAATGGATTTTGATATAAAGTAGAAGCAAATAAGGTATTCTATAACTTGACTTTTTTATTTTTTTTTTTACTTTTTGAATCACAGAATTATTATAGTATGAAATAACAAGTTGATTCTACCTGTTTTGCATAGGACGATATACTGTTTATCACTGTAACAACTATTATCCAGTATATCGTTAAACTTGTGGGCAGCATTTGTCATGTGCTGATTGATTCCAGTTCTTTTTCTTACAATGAAAAATTGTGAGGCAGGCATAGTTTGCCCTGTTATTAGTACTGCAGCTGTGCTACTGTTTCGTGCACATGTCTTTTTGTACTAACTTAGGAGAAAATAAGATCAGAAGAAAGTACTTGTATTGCTGCCAAGTTTTGCAATTATTTTAGCTGCTGAAGAAAATTATATTTTGCACACCTGAGTTGTGAGCTTTGTGAACAACACATATGACCTCCATCTGGAGAAAGAGCAAACTGTTGATATCTGTCTTCTCTCCAGAACTTCAGAAGAGTTTGAGGAGACATTATCACCTCAAGGATCAAGCCTGTGAAATAATTTGATATTCTTTACATTTTTTGGTACTAGGAGAGACAAAAAGTCTTTTTCAGCCCATATTCTCATTTTACCAGTTACCAGTTAAATATATGAATTGATCAAACCTATGCTGAGTCGATTAGAACATTCTGCTTGCTTCCAGAAGTCAACTGTGTACCTCAGACTGTATTCAGAACTTTTCCACCATGAATTTGCCAATTTACCTTTCAAACTCTTTTATACTTTTTCTTTTATACCATTGACTTCTGCAAGTTTGTATGGTAATGTGGTTCTACACTTCAAATGCATGTTGGACATGTCAGATAAAAATTAAATTCTTTAATTTTTATTTACACTCCCTCCCTCAACTTGTTGCATGATAATTCACAGATCTTTTTTTAGATCTGGCATTTGAGAAAATGGAAAGTATTTCTTTCTTATATGATTCATGATTTTATAATAATTTATCATACCACTCACCAAGGGTCTCTCATCCAGTAGGAGAGTTGTTATCAATTCAATTCCTCTTGTAAAGAAGCTATTTTGTTTCTGTGTTCC